TATTTTTTACCGTACCAGGGCTGAGGGTGGGGGTTGGTGAGGGGTTCTGATTTTGTATGTCTGTTCCTTTGTTTGCCTTGTTTGTGATATTATACATATAAAAAAGGCTTCAATAAAAATATCTTTGAAAAAAAAAAAAATTTAAAATCTGCTGTGTTTTGTAGCGCTGCTCTCCTTTCAGCTCCACAGTGCGCACACACCAGAACACACACCATGGTGAGCAAAATATATGCATTTACTTAACTCCAACACGAACAAATCTGTTTTCGCTCCTCTTTCTTTCTCATTGGTAAAGCTCAGTGTACAAAACATTCAAGTAGCAGCTTCACATTTTTAGCCGCCCCTGACTGCCGCTTTCACCGGTTAATATGACAAAACGTTGTTAGCAGTAGGTCATCTCTGCTGTTGCTAATTAATGTTAATTCTGTGAGTAAATTGATGACAGGCCAAATAACACTTGTCTGTTATCTAGTTAAAGTGATTGTGAGGGAAGAAGCTCCACTCTGTAACATGCCAGAGTGTACTCTCACAACGCATAACAAAAGAGTGAAACCAATGTCAATTTCTCCCAGTTAAACTTCCAGTCACATGCCATCTGTAATTTAGGCACATAAACATAATTTAGATTATGACATTAGAGGCAAATTTAGTGGCTGCAACTATTTGAATGTGTCAGATATATATATGGACTTAGAACTGGGCCTAAAAAACACACATCAGTAACACATGTATATGATACAATAATAAATATATAAAAAGCCAAAATTGTAGAAAACTAATTTTCTGTTCATGAATTAATCCACTTTTTTTTTTTTACAACACTCATCTCACAGTCTTAGAATCAGAAGGGGGTGTTATGAACTACTTTTAAATAAATATTTGGTCTGTACAAACATTGAACCACTTGTTGCAAGCTGACTAAATTTCACTGAAACCTGTTGACAACATTCTGAGATATACTGCTACCAAACAGACAAACTGTCATTAAACCATAGCGCACATAGCCGGGTCCTAAAGGTTGGGTGGGGTGGCCAGATAAGTGCCCAAACACTGATAAACAGCAGACAATGCAGACGGTCCTGACAACCACAAACAAAACACAAGCTGCTTTATTTCCTGAGAGGCTCAAAGTGTTTAAGGTTCAACTGGAATGTTGTGTTTAGTCTTCGTCCTTCATCGGCCTTCTAACTCACATCCAATCTAATGTAGTTTCGCACTATAATAAATGCTGCAAAATAAGTGCAGTAATTAACTACAACTAAAATATCTACAAAAAAGCCATTTTGTCTTTGTCAAGGTTTGGCATATCAATATAATTCAGAATTTCTCAGATACAAGAAAAAAAAACTAATTATTTAAACGTATTCAAACTTTTACAAGGTTTGATTAAAAATGCATCAAATGGTTATGTTAAGGAATAAAATTCCAATAGAAAAGGATGTTGGCTGTCTTTTTCTTACTACAATTGCTCTGTGTTTGGGCCGTGCCTTTTTCTTTATCACTCTCAATAAGAAAAAAGTGGCAAAACTAGTAAAAAAAAAAAAAAATAAGCTTGTCTTCCATGTTTTTGTCTTGATCCTATGCTGGTAGTATTTAAGGGAGGCAGAGTCCCTGAGGCCACAATGTAGGCTAATACAAAACACTACTTGAGGGTACAACATGTGACAGTCAGTTGACAGAGTGCAACGGGCCTCCAGTGAATTCATGGTTCACTTGTGTTTGTGTGTTTTCTAAATTATGTCCATTGTCCATGAATTTAAACCTCCCTGCATGTAATGATGATTACACGAGAGGCAAAAATTGATGCTATAGATATTATAGAAAGATAGAGTAATAATAATTTTTTATAATCCACACCCTCTTAAATTAATATATACACAAATCTCTCAAAAAAAGTGAGAAAATCATATTGTAAACTCATCATGAATTGTATCAAAATGTGTCTATATATAAATATTATATCAGTACATAGTAGTTTATGGTTAGCTTCTCAACCGTATTGTACCTGTGGGGTGCTCTGGTAGCTCACCTGGTAGAGCTGGCCCCATGTAACAATGCTGAGTCATCGCTGTTGCCCAACGACTGACTCCAACCTGTGGCACTCTCTCTCTCTGTCTCTCTCTCTCTCTCTCTCTGTCTCTCTCTCTCTCTGTCTGTCTCTCTCTCTGTCTGTCTCTGTCTCTCTCTCTAACCCCCAAGAAACATAAAAAAGGGTATCTTCCTTGTTTTCTTTTTCCATATGTATGTACATTAGGAGCAACATGACACAAATACCTTGTATGTGTACACATACCTGACCAATAAAACTGACTAATACATTTATAAATAAAGTTTCCTTGCTTACATATTTTCCCTTTTATCTTTGATGTCTTCTGTTTCTATTTCCAGCAATGACAGACAGCGTATCATTAAAATTTCATCTCATCTAATAAGGTCACTTCATACACCATCTGAAAGGTCACATCATGTTGACGGAAAAGGCTGCTGAGTACACACACACACACACACGCGCACACACACACACACACACACACACACACACACACACACACACACACACACACACACACACACACACACACACACAGTGAAGGAGAAATGCCAGAATATACAGGGTTGATGAAATTCAATCAATTCAGAACTGAACATGTCCCTCACCAGATCGAATCTTGGGCTGACAGGGTACATTTGATTATGTACAGCACGACCAAAAGACACTGTTGGATGCCATCGCCGTGGTAACTGATGCCAAGCGGCAAGTGAGAGGAACTTGAGATGTGAGCGGGGGGGTCTGGTCAGAGAAGAGGCAGGGGGCCGGCGGCTAATCAACCCTGTGCGTTACCACGTCAACATGGTCACAGCGTGGAGGCCGACGTGGTAAAAGAAAAAGTGATTTGAAACTTCTTTGTAACAAAGTACTGGTTGCAATGGTTTTGCACTACTGCAGGAATCTGTCTATCAAACAGTGTCAGCAAGCAATTCTGACGATGTGGATGATCTTGTCTCTGGCTGTTTGGTTACATTGGCTGTTGCCAATTATTTATTTGAAAAAAGATCACTAAACTTCGTCGGCGGTCAGCGGAAGTGTACAAGAGGCTCAGTGAATATACAGAAGACAAATGTCAAGACAAAGATAAGATCTGCTATCACAGCTAAGAGATGTTTCAAGATTTCAAGACTCACCACAGTTGCATGTCAACCCTGTAATTTTTAGAACATCGTGCAGTCTCTCCTCTGTACATGAAGTGCCACTCAAACTTAGAGATGTGCATTTCCGGTGTTTCTGGGAGCTGAAACAAACCTAAACATTCTAGGCCTTTGCCCAAAACTTTGCAAAATGTAGCAACAACCCTTTTATTTTAGTATTATTCGGGTTAATGTGTCTTTAATAATGACTTTCAGCAATGTTAACTAAAACTTGAGTACTTGATGTCTAAATTCAGCTGAGCTTACATGGAATATAGTCGCACTCTTATTAAAGTAATCCTATATTATTGTTGTATGTGTGACTACCAGTAACGAGAGACACTGAGGGCTTTCTCCACTTCAGTGACCTTCAATCTCAACACTTTATACGCAGCAACTGAGTGTATTCTCATTACTACATACGGTAAATCTCTCTGTCAAGCTTTAAACCAATGTAGATTGTTTTCAACTATCCATGCAGCCGCCTGTGTGTGTGTGTGTGTGTGTGTGTGTGTGTGTGTGTGTGTGTGTGTGTGTGTGTGGGCACTGCAGCTTGTTGCCAAACCCTCCCACCTCACCAGCCAAGCCTACTAAAACAAGCCGCAGAGCCATTTCTCGGCCAAATGTCCCACAGCGCCGTGCACCACCACTACAGCTGAGACTGTTATTCTGTTGAGGTGCATTTAGTGAGACAAAATCATACTAGCATAAACAAAGTTCAGCAAAATGTTACCGCCCTACAGTCGGATACTGATGCTACTACAGAGACAGAAAGACAATCAGGCATTCCTCAGTGTGCTGAGATATAAACACAGTGTGTGTGCATGTGTGTGTGTGAGTGTGAGTGAGTCTACTGTCTGTGACCTTGAGACGAGATGCCTGAGAAAGGAAAAATATATTCCTGCGGGGGATGGCGTCAGTGTGTGTACGTCCTCCTGAGAGAGGGAGGGTGCGTGTGTGTGAGTGTGTGTGTGTGTGTGTGTGTGTGTGTGTAGTATGTGTGCATGTCGAAAGAGGAAAAGCAGCAGGAACGTAACAAAAGGAGAAGTAAAACCGGGAAGTGTTTCTGATATCACCAATCAAAAGTCTGACTGAGGTTACATCTGATTCCTCAACAACACTTCTCAGAAGGCAATACTCCATTGTCTTACTTTGCTAAGTGCTGTTTATACCTTGAAAATAAACCTACTTTCGTTTGGTGGGCGGAGACTGTCTCTTAATAAAATGCTTGATGCACAGAGTAACCAACCACATCATGTCAGTTTCATTGCAAGACACTTAATTTCATCCTGACACTCCCTCGCTTATCTACTATCAATAGTAAACATTTTGGGGGTTTTTCTAGGCTATGCAGGTAGGATAAATCCAGACAGGTCAAAGGTCAAGCTCAGCTATAACTTCCTTGTTTGAACACAGCATACTGAAGATCTGTGCAGCTGTCTGAATTGCCCGCATCCATCGTTAGAAATACAAAATAAGATAATCTGACAAAGGGAAAGGTTTAAATAATCAGACAGACACAGGAAAATCGTACTAGCAAAGATAAGCAGTGGACGTAACAGACACTACTACAAACAAAAGGTTCAGCCAAAACCTCTGACCGACTCATAAACAACCAAATACTATGAGCGTAGATGTCTGTTCTCTCTCTCTCTCACACACACACACACACAGATCTTGGAGGGAGTAATCCCTGGCTCTCTGGGCCCCTGCTGAACCTGTCTTTGACAATCAGAAAACTAGTGCTGGAGTTTATCCTCACCCTCTTGAGGGGTCTCTAACCTGCACACAACACCATAAGACTTCCCACAAACCTTTCTTGAACTCCTCCAGCATGGAGTCCAGCTTGGTGTCGTGAAACACAAAGTGGACCGGATGGTTGTAGAACTTGGTGATGGTCTTGAGGGTGGTGCAGTCGTCCGGGTCAACGAAGGCCAGGTCCTTGACAAACAGGATGTCCACGATGTTGGACCGCTCGTCCTCGTACACAGGTATCCTCGTGTATCCGCTCTCCATGATCTCGGACATGGTGTTGAAGTCCAACACAGCGTGGCTGTGGATCATGAAGCAGTTGCTGATCGGGGTCATGACATCCTCCACCGTCTTGGTCCTGAGCTCCAGCGCGCCTTGGATCATGTTGAGCTCCTCTTTCACCAGGTCGTTGTACGGCTCGGTGACTTTGAGCATCTCCACCAACTTCTCCCGGTTGTACACGGTGCCGATCTCCTGGCCCAGGACGTAGTCGAGGAGCTTGCTGATGGGCCACGACAGAGGGAAAGTTAACAGCATGAACAGCTTGGTGACCATGATGGTGTTGGCCCCGACTGCCAGACCGTGCCGGGAGCACAGCGCCTGCGGGACGATCTCGCCGAAAATAACGATGCCGACAGTGGAGGCGACCACAGCGCCGATCCCGGACATGGTGAGGTCGTCCAGGAGGATGGTGAGGGTGGTGTTGACCAGGACGTTTCCGAGGAGCAGCGAGCACAGCAGGTAGTTGCCCTTCCTGCGGATAGGCTCGATCTTCCGCGCGTACTTCTTCTCCTTCTCGGTGCCGCAGCTCTGCACGATGCGGAGCTCCATCGGGTCCAGCGCCATCAGCCCCAGGTTGAGCCCGCTGAACATGCCGGACAGCACAAGGAGGAAGGCGATGAGGATCACCTGAAGCCAGATGGGCAGCAAGGACTTCTTCTTCTCCACCACCCGCAGTCTGCCGTCTTTATCGTCCAGCAGGTACCACTTTGGCTCCTTCTCGTCCTGGTCTCGGACGCACAAGCCGAACACCTTCACCACCTCGCTCTTACGGAGCTGCTTGATCTTGAGGTTAACCACCCCGGAGGTGTTCTGGTTGCTTACCTCCATGGACTCCTTCACTACTATATCCTTCGTGAGCTCGGCACAAGTCCTATTGAAGGGGATCGTGACTGCGTCGAAAGCATCATCCTCTTTTTCGCTGCAGTTAAGTTCCGTGAAGCCGATGAGCTTCCAGCTGTCCGGGAACAAGTGGAGCCCGTAGAACCTGAAGAGGGTGTTGCTGCCCTCGGTCACCTGAATAACCCCTCTGTCGGTGGTCTCGGCCGGCGCGTCGCTCGTCTCCAGCCTCATGCCGAGTATCCGAGTGTCGCCCCTCGACTCCGAAACCACCGCCTCGGTCTGCCGGCCCGCAAAAACACAAGAAAAGACGAATAAAGTTAGCGTAAACCCCCGTCCGCTCGAGTCTGTCGCCATGTTTGTTTCGCTCTCTGCGAATGGGGGAACTGACGTCAGCTACTCCTTTCCACATGCCCACCCACCTCATTTGCATAACCGCATACCTCGGGAATCCAGCCAATCAGCGTCCGCTACGTCACTCAAGGAACTTCCGAGCCGAGCCCCCTCCGTTTTATTTTTAAGGTGGACTGACATTTATTGTTTTAAGGTCGTTTCATTGCCTTTTTATTCGGACTGATTTAATATATCCTGAAGGATCAACGAGGCCTGTTTCAAAAAACACAACAACACAGCAAAAGAACGAATTTTATTAGATTATTATTATTATTATTATTATTATTATTATTATTATTACGATATTAATAGTAGTAACGTTAGTAGTACTGATTTTATACTTGATTCATAAGAGCTGAACGATTTGCAATCAAAAAGAAGTTACATAAAATGATACAGTCTCTTGTTGTTGCATGTACGTGAAGAGTCAAATTTTCATTACAAAAGTACATTGAATTACGTTCAATAAATTAAATGTAAAAAAGGTTTTTCGTCTGATTTGATCAGATTAGGACACAACTGAAGGCTATATGAGTTACATGTAATGGGCAATTAGTTCAGATCCATTAGTAGGCTACAGAAAATAATAACACAACAAATCACAATAACTGAGCCTAACCCCCTGTTAGCATCTTAGATTTACAATGCAAGGTAATTCCACTTTTGTATGGCTTTCTAACCGATTACAAACGAGGAAGGAAGTGTTTGTTTGTTGTTTTGCAGCTGAAAGAGGTTCTTTCACTTTTTTTTTTTTCTCTATACATTTCTGATCATGCCTTTCAACGTGACACCACTGTGATGAAAAATATGGGACTATATGAACCTATTAATGTAAGTGTGTGTCAGAGAGAGATACAATAGAAACACACAGAAAGGAAGGCACTGGGGGAGGAAACTGATTTCATATGAGTCATTGTGTCAACTCTTGACCTGTGCATTGTCTGGAAGTCATTACACCATTTTCTTTTTTTTTTTTTTTTTTTTTTTTTGTCCAAAGACACTAAATGCTAGAAGACAAACTTTTAGAGGTTTTTCTTCAACTTGCAGACTTTTAATTAACACTGAATACCTGCTCTGTTCTGTAGCTACACCTAAAAGGAAATACACTTAACTACTGCTAAGAACTTTATATGAAAAATATTTAAAAGATGAGTTATCAGAGTGAAGAAGACACAGCAATCAAACTGCAGTGATTTTATTCTGAGTATCTTCTTTTCCTTCGGTAACAACAGTATATAAATGTCTTTACTGAGACCAGAGCTCTATCTTGTGGTCAAAGTACCACAGTGCAGCCTGATGGACAGCTGTGAAAACTGTGAAATAGATGACATTCAGATAGAAACCACCTCTACTTTCTCACATAGTGGTAATGAGGCTTAAATTGTCCTAAGGATACAGAGCCATTGATGCAGTTATTAGCGTCATTCAATGGCATAAAATAAAAATGAAAAATAAAAAGAGCACCACCATGCAGCAAATTGTGATGCATTTGGTGACACAACTAAGTCAGGGTTAGAATTAGCACCCAGAGGGCACTTTATCATAGATAGATAGATAGATAGATAGATAGATAGATAGATAGATAGATAGATAGATAGATAGATAGATAGATAGATAGATAGATAGATAGATAGATAGATAGATAGATAGATTGGTTGTAGTCTAATATTCAATATATTCCCAATAAAATATCATGGTTTACTGTGTAGAACAGACCAAACAGTGACTGCTGATGTAATAATTCACCTGTTTACTGTATGTGACATGAAACTGAAATTACTGTTGACTGTCAGACATTTATATATTATTTCACTTTCATCCAGATGAGCAAACTGAGTCACCTTCTTTATTTGTGTTTCATTGACTGCATTCTGCAGAAATTGTTTGATTGTTACATCCAGTGATATACCGGATGAACCGGTTTTAATTTCCTGTATGATATACATTTTTCATATACCACCATATGATGCATAGTCGAAACAACTGCTATAGAACATTGTTTTTTTAAATATCTCCTTGAATATTTAAATACTTTAAGTATTTTATGTTCATTTTATGCTTATAATCTTTGTACTATTTTAAAATATTTTGTTTTGAAAGGGAAGTAATGTTAAAGTTGTTGGTATGTCAACTTAAGTTCAGTTTTTACTACGTTGCAGTTTGCTCAATAAAAATCGATTACATTTGGATTCTTTCACATATTGTATCATTTTGTCTCTAATCAAAGTCTTCTGTATATACGTAATGACACAAGGAAATTGCCATTCTAAATCCAGAGGACAATGACATCCTGACACCTCCATCTGCTGGTGTGAAAATGACATGACAACATTTCTTAAAGGTAATAATTAACCCTGTGACTGGTAAAAGAAAGTGAAAGCAGAATTTGTCATTGTTGAACAGAGCTGAGGCGCCACTACAGGGTGTGAGATTTCTGCTGGAAAACACAAGTTTGGAGTATTTGAAGTAATCAAGAGACAGTAACTTGGTGAGTCCGACTGTTGAAAATATCTTCAATAACAAATGGCTGAGAGAGCTCTTTTTGAAAGTTTCCTGAACTGCCATGTGTGTTCAGAGACTTTCAGAGATCCTGTGTCTCTGAGCTGCAACCACAGATCTGTTCAAACTGCCTGAAAACATTCTGGGAACAAGCTAAAAACAAAAACTGTCCAATTTGTAAAAGAAAATCTTCAAAAGAAGATCCTGGGGTTGACTTTACACTGAAGGAGCTGGCTGACTCCTTTGCTGGGAGAAAGAAATCTGGATCATCTGAGAAAGAAAAAGGAGAGAAGAAGGTGGAGGTGGTGTGTGATAAACATCAAGAAGAGCCTAAATTGTTCTGTAAGGATGAAGATAGAGCTGTGTGTACTGTCTGTGATTTTCCTCCCCACGTCGGTCACAAGGTGCTTCCTATAGAACAAGCAGTCAGTGACCTGAAGGACCAGCTGAAATCTGACTTAAAGTCTCTACAGGACAAGAGGGACAAATACAAACAAGTGGAGAAAACATACAATGAAGTGATTCAACACTCCAAGAAGCAGCTGTTGTCCACAGAGAGGCAGATCAGAGCAGAGTTCAACAAGCTCCACCAGTTCCTGAAAGAGGAAGAGGAGTCCAGACTGGCAGCTCTGAGGGAGGAAGAGGAGCAGAAGAGAAAGACTGTCAGCAGAGCGATGAAGAGGATTGAGGAGCAGATCTCCTCTCTGTCAGACAGTATCTCTGCTGTTGAAGAAGAGCTGCAGAAACACAACGTGCCATTCCTCAGCAGTTATAAACCCACTCAGACCAGAGCCAGAGTCCAGTGCTCACTGTCAGACCCACAGCTGGTCTCAGGAGCACTGATAGATGTGGCCAAACACCTGGGCAACCTGTCCTTCAGAGTCTGGGAGAAGATGAAGGACAAGGTCCACTTCAGTCCTGTCATTCTGGACCCAAACACTGCACACCCTCGTCTCTATCTGTCTGGTGATCTGACCAGTGTGAGAAATGGAGACACAAAGCAGCAGCTTCCTGACAATCCAGAGAGAAACACTAATTATGTCAATGTTCTGGGCTCTGAGGGTTTCAGCTCAGGGAAACACAGTTGGGAGGTGGAGGTGGGAGATCATCCTCGCTGGAATATAGGTTTGGCTAAAGAGTCAGCTGACAGGAAGGGGGAGGCAGATGCTTCACCAAAATCTGGAATCTGGTGTTTATGGCATGGTGATGGAAAATACACTAATGGTCTTGGTAAGACTGTCACAGTGAAGAAGAGACTCCAGAAGATCAGAGTCCAGCTGGACTATGACGGGGGAGAGGTGTCCTTCTACGACCCTGAACACATGACTCACATCTCCACTCTCAGAGACAATTTCACTGAGAAACTCTTCCCATATTTCTGTGTTGTAGCAGCTGGTGATGCTAAAACTGCTGATATCAAAATCTGTCAAACTGATGTTTCTCTGTGAGGTTCAGGGAGGGCAGTGAGGTCTGAGTGATTTATTAGGATTATTATGATGGTGATGGTTTCTTGTCAGTTATAGACTGATATAGATTTAGTTCATTAGATGAGAATCTTGTCATTTGAAAATATATGAAGAAAATATAGAGATCCAGGTTAAAGACAAATCCGATTTGATCTCTTTCAGCAAATTACATGGAAACACATTGACTGGTTAATAATTAAAAATATATTTCCTATGAATGAGAAACTAAAGCATGGAGTGAATGTTGATGTAATAATTCACCTGCTGTTTGTTTACCATGTGTGTCATGAAACTGAGATTACTGTCAGACATTTTTGATATAGTATTTCAGTTTTATCCAGACAAACAAACTCAATCTCCTTGTTGTTTGATAATGTTAGACACAGCTTATATTTTTGATATAAATTATATAAATTAGAGTAGTACAAAACTGTAATATGATGTAATAGATCCATCAAATATTGACCTTAAGGTAATGTGGATTAAAACTGCAACTAAATACTTTCTTAAGAGTTCTTAATCTGTTGATTTTGTTTATCAATAAAATATCAGAAAATAATCATCAAATTTAAGCAAATGTTTTTTTATAAATTACTCTAACGATTAATCATTGTTCAAACTGGCACCAATATAGATTAGTTAGGATTGGTGGCAATTGATTAAACAACTTCATCCACATTATTCATGTCAGGAGTGTCATTCCCAATAATATGTATTAAAATGTTGACTGTAAAGACTTGACCTTGTCTTTGAATTGTAAATGTTGAACTTTAGAGGTTGTTAGCAGTGGTCACCTTCATCTTGATCTCATTAACATACATTTTTATCTTTATGATTTCATATCAACATTTTATTTAATTATTGGTAAGCAAATTACTGTACAAAACTGATCTTTATAGTTTGCTTCTTCACAAGAACAATACAAAATATTTTGTATGTTGGGTACAAAATATTTTAAATGCTTTCCTTTAGCTAAAAGTAAGTAGAACTACATTTATATTACAGCACTTTCAAAACCAGGGTTAATAAGTGCTTTAGAGTTACTATTAAAACTAATTTAAAAAAACCTTGGGATAAATATTTAAGACAAACAGGAACTGCTAAAGAAAAATACTCACTTCTCTCTTCATCTGCATGTTCACTTTGTTCCAAACTGTTGCTGTTTGGCCAACATATACTGTAGATAACACACAAGTCATATTTTATACAATACATTATACATTATACTGTATTCTCCTGCTCAGAGCTCAGAGGCTCCACAGTGTGTGATGTATTTATCTATATTTTATCCATAAAACTGTACAACATGCTGAGGATATATGAATAGAGAGTGAGGATGTGGATTATGCTGCAGGAATTGATTGAGATGTTTCTGTGGATACTATTGAAACTTTTCCAAGCCGACCACAGTTCTTTGTGTTTTTCATGAGGAAGGAAACAACATACTCTTACTGCAACTACATGACATGAGTATTTGAAAATGTGTTGTTAATGTTCATACTTGGTCTATTTTGACTGTTGATAAGATTATAAATAAGGTGGGCAAAATATGAAAACTCCTCTCAGTATAAAACAATGCTGTTCAACAGCACCGGCCTCTGTAATTAAAATATTTATATATATTTTATTTATATATTTATTTAACCTTAATATTGAAGATTAAAATTAAACTCTCTTTTCTGATAAACTGAAGGATTAAATGTTCCTTTATGTATTAAGAAAATTCTCCTACTCCTTAATCAAAATAAACTGTTTACAAACTGTTGAATTAGCTGGATAATGCATCGTCACTAAGCTAAAACAGGGCTGTTTCTCTGAGATCATGAAAGTTGACTTTTTAGAGATACGTGGTTCTCAAAGGACAGCGATACTACAAACTTGTTGCAGATTAAACTAACCAACAGTATCAGAATCAGAAATCAGAATCAGAAATACTTCATTGATCCCCGGGGGGAAATTTGTATATAAAGTAGTTAAAATGAGCTCAACCACAAACATCTACAGCTGTAAAATGGACCATACACATTAATGCAGCCATAATATTCATCCAAAAACATCATAAAGAACAGTAAAACACTGGCAGGGAACATTTTACTGCATACTGAGAACCAATACTTGAGGTACATTTTGTTGATAATACTTTAACTATAAGTTATATTTTGAATGCAGGACTTTTACTTGTAGCGGAGTATTTTCACAGTGCGGTATTTGTAGTAAAGGATCTGAATGAAGTTTGTACACTAATAAAGACTACTCAAACTCATTTACGCAGCTAATCAGTGGTAACTAAGTATTTACCCAAGTACTGTACAAAGTACAATTTTGAGGTATTTGTACTTTACTTTTATTATTTCAATTTTAAGACACTTTTCTACTCCACTACATTTTGGAGGGAAATATTGTTCTTTGTACTTGTTTCTGTGACAACTTTGGTTACTTACAAATATGGCATTGTGAATACAAATATGATTAGCTTATAAAACATGATGCACTACAGTAGTAGGCTAGATCTAGAATGATAAGTTGATTAATCAATAAGTGGACTGACAGAAAACTCAAAACTTGGCGCAATATTCTGGCAGTTATCTTTTTGAAAAAAAGCCAAAACATTTCATAGTTGCAGCTTCCCAAATGTAAGAATTGCTGCTTTTCCTTTTAATTATTTCAATAATTATATTTTATTTTTAATTATTTTATGTGTTCTGAAGGATCTATTTTAAAAAGAGCGTTGACAACACTGTAAAAGAACATATTTATTAGAATTTCCTATACTTAATTCATTAGAGCTGAATGATCTGAAATAAAAAAGAAGTCACATAAAATGATACAGGGTCTTGTTGCTGCATGTTGACGTCCTCCCAAGGTTCTTGTTTTTGGTGAAAATAAAAAAATCCTAAGTACATTTGTTTGCCATGGGACAAAATAACGATTACATTCACATTCCAAAAAGATTAAATTAGTCATATTTTTAAATTAATTATTTGATATTCAAAAAGGTTCAAATAAATTCAATCAAAAATAAATGAAAAGGCCTTATTGTTAACAGTTTTTTATCATGGTTCCTCTTCTGACATGTCAGATTAGGGTACAACTGAGGGCTACATGCAACGCAAAATTCAGTTCAATTAGTACTGAAGATAAGTGAGCACACAACAATGATAATCACAATAACGGACCTAACTCCCAGCTAGCACCTCAGATTCACAGTGTAACTCCATTATTGTATGTCTCTGCTGATGAAGCATGTTCTGGAGTTAAGGCTTGCTAACAGATTACAAAGGAGTGAGGAAATTGTTGGGTTTTTTTTCCTTTGGTCAGAACAGTAATGTCTTTACTGAGAACAGAGCTCCATCTTGTGGTCAAACCACTACAGTGCAGCCTGATGGGCAGCTGTGAAAACTGTGAAATAGTTTACATTCAGATAGAAACCAGGTCTCACATAGTGTTAATGAGGCTTACAGTTGTCTTCTGGATGAAGAGGGTTAGGGTCAGGATAAGGATTGGCACCCAATAGAGGACACATCATCATGTTTTCTCCACTTGAAGGGCACCCAGAGGGCACTTTTATCTACCATAGGGGCATCCAAGAGGTCACTTTTGCTGTTTTGGTTTTTTTCAAACGTGGGCACAATACTGTGTGAATCCATTCATCTATATGTGACGCTTCCTTTGTCCTTTCTAGACTTTTGCTCAGTGTTCTTCTGGTCCTGTTCTTCCCCCTTGACTGATGAAGAGAGAGAGAGAGAGAGAGAGAGAGAGAGAGAGAGAGAGAGAGAGAGAGAGAGAGATGATCAGATTGATAAGCAGGTAAAACTAAATCTCAACAAAAAAACAAACATTCCTAAGCATGTTAACGATTAAATGTTAATGAGTGTTTTAACTGGATGAAATGAACACAGTTTCCTGTTACAGTGGCTGAAAAATACAACTTGTTTACTGTTACTCAGTCTGTTAAAATGTTCAGTCTTCTTTACATTAAAAAAGTGTGTGGTTTATTTTTATTTAGTTATAGGTCTAATAGAGGGTCATAATTGTTTACATGTTGCCTTTTTGTTTGGAAAACAACTACCTGTACAGGGAATCTTTTCTGAATTAAGAGGAAAATATTAAACTTGAACGACATCCTGACACCTCCATCTGCTGGTGACAAAATGACATGACAGTGTTTACTGCTGTAACTCAAACCCACGACGGAGGTAAAAGAAAGTGAAAGTAAATTTTGACATTTAACAAATGGATGAGAGAGCTCCTCCTGAAGGTTACTTGAACTGCCATGTGTGTTCAGAGACTTTCAGAGATCCTGTGTCTCTGAGCTGCAACCACAGATTCTGTTCAAGCTGCCTGAAAACATTCTGGGAACAAGCTAAAACCAAAAACTGTCCAATTTGTAAAAGAAAATCCTGAAAAGACAATCCTGGGGTGAACTTTACACTGAAGGAGCTGGCTGACTCCTTTGCTGGGAGACAGAAATCTGGATCATCTGAGACAGAAAAAGGAGAGGAGAAGGTGGAGCATCGAAAACATCAAGAGGATCCGAAATTGTTCTGTAAGGATGAAGGTGGAAATGTGTGTACTGTCTGTTAGTTTCCTCCCCACGTCGGTCACAAGGTGGTTCCTATAGAACAAGCAGTCAGTGACCTGAAGGACCAGCTGAAATCTGACTTAAAGTCTCTACAGGACAAGAGGGACAAATACAAACAAGTGGAGGAAACATACAATGAAGTGATTCAACACTCCAAGAAGCAGCTGTTGTCCACAGAGACGCAGATCAGAGCAGAGTTCAACAAGCTCCACCAGTTCCTGAAAGAGGAAGAGGAGTCCAGACTGGCAGCTCTGAGGGAGGAAGAGGAGCAGAAGAAGAAGACTGTCAGCAGAGAGATGAAGAGGATTGAGGAGCAGCTCTCCTCTCTGTCAGACAGTATCTATGCTCTTGAAGAAGAGCTGCAGAAACACAACGTGCCATTCCTCAGCAGTTATAAACCCACTCAGACCAGAGCCAGAGTCCAGTGCTCACTGTCAGACCCACAGCTGGTCTCAGGAGCGCTGATAGATGTGGCCAAACACCTGGGCAACCTGTCCTTCAGAGTCTGGGAGAAGATGAAGGACAAGGTCCACTTCAGTCCTGTCATTCTGGACCCAAACACTGCACACCCTCGTCTCTATCTGTCTGGTGATCTGACCAGTGTGAGATATGGAGACACAAAGCAGCAGATTCCTAACACTCCAGAGAGGAACACTAAGTATGCCAATGTTCTGGGCTCTGAGGGTTTCAGCTCAGGGAAACACAGCTGGGAGGTGGAAAAAAGGTTTGGCTAAAGAGTCTTTTTTTGGCTTTTATTTGATAGGACAGCCAAAGACAGACAGGAAAGGGGGGCAGAGAGAGAGAAAGAGGGAATGACATGCAGCAAAGGGCCACAGGTCAGATTCGAACCCTGGGCCACTGCAGCAAGGACTCAGCCTAGGTACGTGGGTCGCCAGCTCTACCCACTGAGCTAACCGGGCGTCTGGCTAAAGAGTCTTTTGACAGGAATGGGGAAATATATATCACACCAAAATCTGGAATCTGCTGTTTATTGCATCGCAGTGGAAAATACCTGAATGGTCTTGGGAAGACTGTCACAGTGAAGAACAGACTCCAGAAGATCAGAGTCCAGCTGGACTATGACAGAGGAGAGGTGTCCTTCTACGACCCTGAACACATGACTCACATCTTCACTCACAGAGACACTTTCACTGAGAAACTCTTCCCATATTTCTGTGTTGGAGCAGCTGGTGATGCTAAAACTGCTGATCTCAAAATCTGTCAAACTGATATTTCTCTGTGAGGTTCAGGGAGGAAAATTGAACAAATCCATCAAATATGTAAATAAAATATCAGAAATTAATCCTCAAATTTAAGCAAATGTTTGTATATTTTTCTTGATAAATGATTTTCCAGCTAATAATTTTTCAAATTGGCACCTATATAGATTAGTTAGTATAGCTGACAGTTAATTAAACAACTTCACCCATATAACACATGTCAGAAGTCTCATTTCCAATAATATGTATTAAAATGTCCTGACCTTGTCTTTGAATTATGGATGTTGAACTTTAAAGATTGTTAGCAGTGGGCACCTTAATCTTGATCTCTAACATTAATCTTTGTGTTTATGATTTCATATCGGCATGTATTATTTTATTTATAATTCTTGAACATTCATTAAAGGTCCAGTGTGTTGGATTTAGTGGCATCTAGAGGTGTAGTTGCAGATCGCAAGTCCCTTGCACAGTGACTGTTTTATCTATTTTACAACTCAGAAATACAGAAATAAGAATGTTGGGTATACAATATTTCAAATGCTTTCCTTTAGCTAAAAGTATAAGTTAAGACACATTTTTACTTCACTACATTTTGGAGGGAAATATTGTTCTTTGTCCTTGTTTGTGTGACAGCTTTGGTTACTTACAAATTAGAAATTGTGAATATAAATATGATTATTAACCATGAAGCACTACAGTAGTAGGCTAGATCTGAAATGATAAGTTGATTCATCAAAAAGTCGATTGAAAATGTGAGAATTGCTGCTTTTCCTTTTAATTATTAAAATAATTGTATTTTATTTTTAAGGATTTTGAGGTTTGCACTGTTGGTTGTAAACAAAACAATAAACATTGTGAATGTGTCAATTTGGGCTCTGGGTTTCTCACTATTTCCAGAAAACAGTCACAGGGACATTTTTCTGGATGAGAACTTTAACACTTACTTATAACTACGGTTATGTGCATCAATGAATATGTAAGTATGCTTTATTTGTGCGTTCCTCATAAACATTGGTTAAGTAAATATTAGTGAATTAATGTGTGTAACTTGACTCACCATGTGGCTTAGCAGACAGTGCCAGTAGGAGGTTAATTAATCTGTAACTTTAAACATACAAGTTCTCACTGTAGTGCTGCTGGTTTATAATTTTTATTTTGTGACAATTTGAGATAACTATGAGTCGCTGTGTTAATCCTTAGTTAATACTACAAACAAAGGCTGTTCAATTTATCCTTTAAGAGAGTACTATATCTGTACCTTATGTTGCACTGATAGCCCGTGGACAGAATTTATAGGACTGTATAGGATTGTAATTTGTAGTATACAGAGATTATGGTTAATTGTATTGGTATGTCGGTTATTCTATAACCCACAGAACAGCCATCCAGTAAAGTACAAAACCCAACTGAAGCGTCCTCTAGTGACATTCATTAAGATACATGAAACACTAATGCAGGAAGTTGGAGCGGTTGTTTCACTTATAAGTTCTCCAACTAGGGGTCATAGTTGACTCATAAATCTTAATTAGCGCTATACTTCACGTGACTAGCTCGTTACCTTGCTTGTACTCGTGTTAAATAGTTTTTAGTAAATGTAGGTTTCCATGTTTTCATACCAATAGTTGAATTATGAGTAAACGCTGCGCCCACGGAGGAGGGGAGTGGAGCGAGAAGGAGGGAGGAGTGGAGTCAAAGGAGGGGAGAGCATGAAAGAGGGAGGGGAGCGGAGTAAGGGGAAGAGAGGCGGGTGGTAGTGGGAAGCAAGGAGGAAAACATTACATTACCTCGTTTCTTCTCGTAGTTGAGAGTTTTTCTTGGTTATTCCCGGGATCGCTGGCGAAGGCGCAGCTCAGCCAGGACGCACCGCACCGAGCCAGGACGCACGGTAAGAAGACGCGCCGCTACTCGCCTTTTTACCGACATTGGAGGGTTCACGGTGAAGCGGGGAGGGGGTTTTCATACTGAGATGGATTTTGGGGGAAGAAAGGAAAGAGATGGAGGAGGAAGATAGAAAGCCAGACAGGCGAAAAGGAAGTGTAGTGAATGGGCTGTCTGCTCTCCCTTTCGCTCTCCTTGTCTCTGCTGCCCTCCAGGGAGTCCAAGACCAAAAAAAGTAACGGAAAGAATGAACGACTGTGGCAAAGGAGGAGAAGAAAGTTGGCGATAAACTCTGCTTCACTTTCTTTTTTTCCTCTCAGACAACATGTACACTTCATTGTGGGCTCTACGGCGAGTTTAACAGAGCTGCTTATCCAGAACTTATTTTACCTAAACTCTCAGTGCGTAAGACTTTACTATAGCAGCACAGTGTGTTTTATAATTCTTGTGATGGTGCCCAACCACTGCAGCATAAAGCCTTTGCTTAGGAATGAAAGTTACAGTACTGTCTTTAATGTGCTATAGATGAAGATGACGACAGCCGCAATTGTTTGTGGGAGTAGTGACGATAAGGATGATGTTTATGAAGACAATGATTGTACAGATAATGTAGTGAAGACCATAAACTGTGCGGTTTGGCACTGGTGAATTAGGCTTTGAGTCATTTCTACATCATTATGCAGCGGAAGACTGTGAGGTACTTATTCATATCCTGTATCAGCGGTGCACATCAGTTTCAGTTCACAGTAAAGTATGAGACTGAGTTGTAGTGTTGCAGTGGTACGTGATTATCACAGTAAGATATCTGTCTCTTATCACGGTTTCAGGTATAAAGGTGTCTGTTACACAGTTGTTATTATTATCAGTTATAATAAAAGGAATAACATGTTTTTGTTGAACAATTGATTTATTATAATTTCACAAAATATTATGTCCTATATTTTTAATTACACTAATACAATAGCATTCAATATTTAGGGCCCCTGAATTGTCTAAGATATAAATCATTCAAATGTTTTTTGTTTTATTTGCCCTCATATAATGATCACTATTTTTGTGTGCTAATGACACATGTACTCCTCCTCCTCCTCCTCCTCCTACTACTACTACTACTACTACTACTACTAATAATAATAATAATAATAATAAACTTTATTTATACAAAACCTTTCAAAGCAAAGTGCCTTACATGGTTGAACTAGGGTTAAAACATCTCAGGAATGCAATGAGGCTAACAAAATCAGACAATTAAAACAACACAACAAGAGTAACAGTGATAATAAGACAATAAAACCGTTTTCTAACATTAATGAAAGTTTGAGTTTTGAGGTAGGGTGTGTCAGAGCTAAGGGGTGCTGACTGTAAAACCAGGTCTCCTGAAACCAGGATTTAGGAGCAGCTAACAGAGCACTGCCTGTAAGTCTGAGGCTCTGGCTAATAGGGGAGCAGCAATTCAGCAAACATAACCCAACATAACCCAACATAACTGGGAGCTAAACCATTAAGTTCTTTAAAGACTGTGTTTTGCACTAGACATGTAGGTGAAATATTTGGCTTTAATCCCTGAATACGGACTAAAACACAATGAGTTACAATAATCTATCTAAAATGAAATGAGTGACCTTCTCAAGATTGCCTTGATAGAGACAAGACTTGAAATTAAGATGCCCCTCTATTATTAGAAATGATGACTGTGGAATATTAAACCCTGGATTCTGGCTGCAGGTTTTACGTTTGTGGGCAGGGAGCCAAGATGTTTTTGTGAAATAGGAATGGAAAGAAAATTAGTTTTTTATTTAGCTGGGTACATTTTTGGGAACAGACAAGATAATAACATAAATCTGCATGTCATCCGCATAATAATGGACATGACATGTTAGCACTGTTTACATGTGTGTTGATATTGATGCTGTGGATTAATTTTGTTGATGAGGAATTATTTCTGAAGACAGAAAGAACATGTTATCAAATTGAGATGTTTTCCTACTAACACAACAGATACATGGAAATATTTTCTTTTTTTAAAGAAACATTATATATTATTCCTCTCTTTAACATTTAAGGGACCAGTGTGTAGGAGTTTCTGGTATCTAGAGGTGGTGTTTCAGATTGCAACTTAATGAACACCGTTGACATCTGTATTTGACGACCTGGGAATGAAACCAGGCTGTGAGGTGTGTCGAGAAACTGGCAGCGAAACTGGGCAGTGTCTGGTTTGTCCGTTCTGGGCTCCTGTAGAAAAAAGATAGATAAAACCGGCTCATTCTAAGGTAACAAAAATACAACAATTCCTATATTCATTTATTTTACACTAATAAAAACATACCTATGAATACTGTATTCCATTTCTGCCAATGAGCCTCCTCAATGTTACACTGTAGTTTCCTGACAGCTGTATCTAACTTTTTACACCTGTTATATGCACACTGACGCGTCTCAACTTGGTCAATATCTTAATGCTGTAATTTGTGCAATGTCAATGAAAATGCAGAAGTTAAGTGACAATGTGCAAATACTACTGGCCCATTTTTGGGTGAGCTAAATATGCAAGAATAGTCATGACACTGTTCCTAACAAGATGTTTATTCTTTAAAAAGTAAATAAAGAGAGAAATTATTAAGGGATCACCAAAGTTATTACAATTCATCGTCCTACCAAAATTCCAAAGTCAGGGCTTCCCTTAAAGGTTTTCCGGGGGATTTAATGTCAGAAATAATTTTGTCACCTGAAAATAAGAATCGTTGTTGATGTTTTTGTTACCTTAAAATGAATCTGCCATGTTGAACTGCCATGTTTCTACAGTAGACCAGAAGGACCAACATTTTTTGCAAGTTTCTCCTACACACTTGGAAAGTGAGCCATATTCAGTTGATTGCAATTTGCAACCTCACCTCTAAATGCCACTGAATCCAACACACTGGTCCTTTAGGTCAGTAGGAAAAACAGTAAATATGAGAAACATAAATGAGATTACAAAAGCAACCTGTTGCAAAATGAGAAAGAATGAGGTGTGTGTGTGTGTGTGTGTGTGTGTGTGTGTGTGTGTGTGTGTGTGTGTGTTTGTTACAGGAAGAAATTGAAGTAAGGTTAATTAGAAAATGCTGAGAGATGTGAATTAGAAACTTGCATGTGACTGCTCCATCTAAACTGAACTAAGATGTCTGAAAGGGTCATGTAAGGTTATTCCTTGAATTTGATCTCACTCAATAACTTTGTGCCCTGCACAAATTAATTTAATGTGGGTCAAAATCCAAGTTTGTGTCACAGCTTGAAGGTCGTTCATTGTTAGATGGATATGACGCTGCGTCTGCCAGAGTGTCTGAGTCTTTATGGTGCATGGATAAGATTATTAAGCTTAAAAGGTCAATCAAAATGTCAGGGTTTTTATCAGGTAAGATGAGAGGAGGAGTGGCTTTGTGGCCTAAGAGGTCAGGTGAATTATTCAGAGGTTGATTGTCCAGGTCTTTTGGTGCGGCGCTCGGGGCTTGATACTGTATTGTGCCCTTGTGTCATATCTGCATCTCACTTTTCCATTATTGCTTTGTTAATATTTATCATTAGTGGGAAGAAAGGTATCAACATAGGTGTACATCTGTATATACATCTCTATTCATACATGCACAGTTAAAAATCAGTTCAATTTCTCAAAGTAAAAAAATATATATATATCCTTTTTCTCAGGCCACAATTTATGAATCGGAGAGAACTGAGAGAGTTTGTAAGTGATGACTTATCCTGTGATCACAAGTTCCCATAGTAAACTACCTTGTTCACTTACAGTCAGATCTACTGAGGAAAAATTAATCAGTAACCCACAGGAACCTTGACAAAAACTGAACATCGTCAGTCTGTTACCTTTCATTTGTTTATTCAACCTAGTTGTCAGTTAGATTGAGGCTGATTCTGTGGTAACACACAAGTGACGGATAAAAGGAAAACTGATAAAGGGGAAATTAAAGGGCCAGTGTGTAACATTTAGGAGGCTCTATTGGCAGAAATTGAAGATAATATTCATAGGTATACAAACTGTAAGAGTTTGTTTATTCCTATAGGAACCTTAATTCCATGGACCCTGCCATGATGAACCACCATGTTTCTACTGTACCCCAGAAGGGACAAACTAAATGCTGGCTCTACCCACTGGTCCTTCAAACAATAGTCAAAAGTAGGCTTCACTGTGGCTGCCTGGCTGATATGTAAAAGTAAAAATACAAAAATGCAGAGGCACTCGATTAGAAGTGAAAGCCCTGCATTCAAAAGTGTACTTAAGTTATTTAAAAGAAAGTATGCGAATACGCTTCGAGGGGAAATATCTCTTTGGTGGAACAATTCATAGACATCTGGAACCTATGACAAGTGACCCCAACTAGACACTGCTTTTTTTGTAGGAGCGTGTGTTTTTTAATGTAAAATCTTAATGTAATCTTAACAGCTGCAGCTGTCAATAAATATAGGGTAAAGTAAAAAAAAAGATCTAGGATTATAAAGTAGCATAAATTGGAAACACAAAAATATGCAGCCTTGTTTCATTGATTTTAAGGGGAATCTGACTAAATACGACCCAGTGAAAGGCATTAAGAATAATTACATAGAAATAACTATAATAAGTCTTCTTGCTGATGGTCCATATGTTTATGAAGTTCATAAAGAGGCTTTCATAATAAGTTCAGACTGGTGCATAACCAGTTTAAAAATCCTTGCAGTAGGTTTAAGCAGATACTTAGTTACTCTCCACCTCCAGGAAAGTGCACCAGGCTAGAAAGCCATACTGGTCAAACCATGTAATGACAGCAATGGCAACGTAACGTGATAAACAAAAGATTTCCCATAAGGCTTCATCTGCCACTGAGCAACTTTAATAGGAAAGAATAGAGACCCACCTTCAACAATGTATCTAGTACTCCCGTAATGCAATCATTGCATCAAACACAAGCTCAGCATCTGACTGACATCATTACTCACCAGAAACTTTGCTTCTTTCTGTTATTTTTTACAGTTTGGGTATTGGGTATAGTCTGGAGTTAGCATGCACTTTGCAAAAAGTGGGTTTTTTACAACACCTACAACTGTGCAGACCTCCACCGCAGACCAATGGCTCAGAACTCAGGGAATAAGGGCGTAAGTTTCATTTCAGCTGTGGTTGAACTGTGGGCAGGTGAAATCCAGAGCAGTGAAAGTTTTCTGTATTTAATGTATGACCTAGATACACATTTAGAGTAACAATATACTGTATACCAATCAACTATAACATTATGACCACTAAAAGGTGAAGTGAATAACACTGATTATCTGGTTATAATGGATCCTGTCAGTGGGTGGGATATATTTGGCAGCAAGTGAACATTTTGTACTCAAGTTGATTAGTGTTAGAAGCAGGAAAAATGGGCAGCGTGAAGATTGGAGCGACTTTGACAAGGGCCGAATCGTTATGGCTAAACGACTGGGTCAGAGCATCTCCAAACCAGCAGCTCTTGTTGGGTTTTCCCTGTCTGCAGTGGTCAGTACCTATCAAATGTGGTCCAAGGAAGGAAAAGCAGTGAACTGGAGACAGGGTCATGGGTGGCCAAGGCTCATTGATGCATGTGGGGAGCAAAGGCTGGCTCGTGTGGTCCGATCCAACAGACGAGCTACTGTAACTCAAACTGCTGGAAAAGTTAATGCTGGTTCTGATAGAAAGGTGTCAGAACACACAGAATGTATTGGTTGAATAGAGAAATGTTCTGTTGGGAAGAGACACTTAGAATGGATTATGTGGATTGTAATAGCTTTATATAATATATTTTATTCATTAATGGAGCGAAGCCTGCAAGCTAGTTCAGGCAGGTCAACTCGAGCTGCGCTGATTACACACATGACATGCCTTATTCCATAATCACTAACCAAGCTCTCCCTTCCAATCTGGCGGTCTATTTAAACTGCACAGTTTCCCAGCTCTCCCTCTGCTCTGTCAATGCTCTGTCTGTATTGCTGCTGCTGCTGCTGCTGCTGCTCTGTAAGCTATTGCTGCCGAGTGGGGGTTAAGGTATTTGCGCATCACTCCCCAATATCTCATGTAAACATATCTGCGGGGAACGATGAGGTCGGAGCCTAGACGGCAAAATCTAAATATGCTACACTGCTTAATAAACATTCCAAACGTGAGTTGGCTGACTGAAATGTATGTTATCTGCATGAAAGCTGCATGTTGGTCTGAAAAGATGATTTCCTCTGAGTTGGCTCACAGGCCCTGTATTTAATGGCATACAAGCCTTGTTTTCCACAGAAGTAGCTGTTAATGGCAATTAGCAAGAACTTGTTATCACTCCAACTTCCTGCAATTGTGGTTAATAGATTTATTCACTGAAATCTGAAGGCTTTCAAGATATGGTGAAACAACACTGACGCCCAATTTTAAGTGTTTACAAAATCAACAGTTGCAGTTGCAGTTTTCACACATGAGCGGGGTTTGCTAATATCACCATGAATGGCATTGGCATTATTGCATTGGCCAATTATCTGGAATATTCAGTCATAATACAGGATGCACTGTGTAACACAAGGAGAGAAGCTGACTGGAAAGTTAAATAAGTATTTCTTCCCTGTGAGCCTGCAACTATTTTCAGCAGTGATTTATCTGCAGAGTATTTTCTTGATTAATTGATTGATCGGCCTATAAAACTCAAAGTGACATCATCAGATGTGTTTTTGTCCAACAAACCAAAGCCAAAGATATTTTACAAAGATAGTTTACCATGATGTAAGACCAGCAGAAGAAACAAATTCTTCCTTTTGAGAAGCATTGGTATTTTTGCTAAAAAAAACCCACTTGATTATCAAACTATCTCTTCTTCTGTCGACTTACAAATTGAATAAATCTATTAATATTCCCTCTGGAGGAGGCTTTATTGCTTTGAGTTGGCGTGCTCTGAAAAATACAGTGTGGCCTGCCAGCTATTATTAGCTAGCAACCTGATAAGACAAGTACCTGTTGATAGAGATGCAACAGAAAATGTAGGCTGGTGGATTCTAGAGTGCTGAAGACTTCAAAAAACCAAACCAGAATTTTGTAGTTTAGGATATTTTAGATATTTAAGATTTAAACAAACACATCACAGTTCCTCACAAAAAAGCATCTGCAAGGTTTCTGTAAGTTTGTTACAGTTTGTGGATGCTCCGTCAGGCAACTTTCTGTGGTTCCCTTAATCGTGGATGGATTATTGAACCAAAGGGTCTCTGGGCCAGAGGCTCTGTTTGAAGTGACATTTGTTGTTGGAAAGTTACAAAGCCCAGTTAAAAGTAAGGCTGTTCTGAATCAACCACAATCAAAATGACTAGAAAGAGATTTGAAACGATCACAAAGGGATGCAAAATGAATACAAAAGGACTCAAAACACTCAAAAAGAGACTCAAAAATGACTACAGAGAC